ATCACAAAAATAAACTGTTATTTAGATTTGCATATCAGCCTGATTTCCATTGAATTCTTTGGTAGGTTTTTGAAATCTAAATAGTAAAAAACAAAACAAACAAACAAACAAAAAACAAACCTCTTGGCATCCTGCCAATGATGAAAGTACCAATTTTCCATTTTTTACCAAAGTGCTTTGTTGTTGATATGACAATGGCAGATAGCCCACAAGTCTTTATTTTCCTTTTAAGTAGCTGGTCTCAGAGGGTTTATTTGGCTGGTTCTTTGGCTTTGGGTTTGGGAGGTGGTGGTTTAACCTGGTTTACCTCTTTGCTCTGGGATAACTGTTGTCTGGTCCGTCTCACGTCTTCACTGCCGGCTGTATTCCCATGGCTATACTGTCTACAGTATAGTCTTCCAAGGGTTCCCTTGCAGCTATCCACTCTTCCTCCAGGAATCTAGTTGATTCAGGTGTTGATTCCAGCCCTCTCTGTCACCTCTTAGCCCTGTGTCCTGGATCCTGTGAGTTTCCTTTTGCTCCAGCATCTGGAGAGACTGCAGTAGGTGGCACCTTCCCTGACTCTTTTATCCCACCCCTGCTCTCAGGTGTCTTTGTCATTTCAACTATTTTCTCCAAAGCAGATTCATTAGAAATGTCAATAGCAGGGTTTTAAAGCTTAGTATTGGTACTGTGAAGAATTTTCCCTATCAAGCCAAATGGTTAGGAAATAGGATGAAAGAATTCACTCAGTATTTGTTTTAATTTAAAATTCCTTAAAGTTTCCCTTGTTTTTACTTTGTGTGCTTCTACTGTTTGCTTCTTGGGTAGAATCCAAGCTAGTGTTTTTGCGGCTTTTCCCCCACTCCATGTAATGATCTATATAATAAATTAACAACTATATGTACATAGGCATGTGCATGTGATGTGATCCCTCAGTTTTAGCACATGATCTCTGTATATTTGAATTTGAGGATATGTTGATGTCTATATCATATACACACTCAAGTATAGATGCATGTGTGGGAGAAACAGATAAACACATCATTCACCACCTATACCACTGTATGTGTGCAAGGGAATTTCATCCTACTATATTATATTTTACTTTCATTAAGTTAATTTCAGTTTATTTTGCCTATTTGATTTGAAGGTTCTGTTTCTAGTAGAACCCCTCCTGATTCCTGTCTCTGGGAATACAGATTTGGCAGAACCTTCCGAGAGAGCAGTGATCTGCTGCGTGCCGTCTGGCTGTCCTGGGGACATGGCTGACTAGGGTAGCGGGTGGAGAGCCCCCACAGGTGCACAGTTTACAGTGTCTGCTGCAACCCATAAAGATATACCAACTTCTGCTTTCTCTGAGCATAGAAAATCCCGCAAGCTTCTCAGGGGGGTTCTACCAGACAGGGGGAGGGGCAGTTACAGATGAAGGTCCCATATCTGCTTAGAGATGCTCTGCAACAGCTCACTGTCTTCTGGATGTCCTGACACAGCAACTACTTAGAAAGGACCCCAGCCAGACACAGAGTGTTTCCCTACTTGAAAACCCCAGTCCAGAACAGTTCTCAGCGCTCTGCTCTGCTAGGAAAAGTTTTACCGTGTAGCAGAGTGGTCAGTCAAGTTAAAGACTGGAGATACTGTGGTTGAACTTGAAGGTTGTAAAACCACAAAAAGCCCCCTTTCATCTTCAAGAAAGGGTATTACAAGGAAGACAAAAACTTGCTGAGCTTCACAGGCCTATCATCTCAGTAGCTGGGAGGTAGAAGCAGGAGGATCAGGAGTTCAAGACCAGTCTCAACTACATAGTGAGTTTGAAGCTATCCTTAGCTACATGAGACAAAGATGTGGAGAAAAATAAACCATTGCATATTATTTGTATGAATTCAAATTAGTGCAGTGCTGTGGAAAACAGTATGGCAGAACCTCAGAAATGTGAAATGGTATTATCATAGGACTTAACAATCCCATTCACGTGGGTATTGCCAAAGAAAATGGAATGCGTGTGTTGAAGGGTAATTATTGCAGCATTGTTCATAATAGCCAGGGAAAGGAATCAACCTAAGTGTCCACTGACAGACAAGCGAAAAAATAAATGAGGTAGTGCCTGGTGAGATGGCTCACTGGAGCCCTGACAACCTGAATTTCATCCCCAGAATGAAGTCACAGAAAAAGCTAAATATGGTAGCACGCATTTGTGATCAAAGCACCTCGGTAGCAAGATGGGAGGCAGAGGTAGGAAAATCACCCAGAAGCCGGGAGTGTGCAGCTCAGTGGCAGGAATGAAAGAACACTGCTCAAAATGAAGGTCAAAGACAAAAAACAACTCCCCCAAATTGTCCTCGGATGTCCATTAGTGCCCTTGCGCTCACACGCACCATAAACCCACCGGACACACAAACACAACAGGAAAGAAAGTGGGTTGTACAGCTACAGTGGAGTGCCACTTAGCTATAAAAAGAAAGAAATCCTGCCATTTGTGTCAACGTTGATGAACCTCAAAGAGTTATGTTAAGTAAAGAAGACATAATAGGAAGACAAATCACACTATCATTTCTGTGTGGGATCTAAAGATATTGAAGTCATAGAAAAGAAAACAGAATGGTCCTGGGGTAAGAGCTGGTCAGAGGACACAAGATTTAGTTAGGTATACCAATAAATGTTTGTTTATTATAATACATGTCAATGCTTGTTAATAGCAGTGTGTTGTGTTTCGTTATCACCACAAATGAGTAAATATAATAGATAATGCATATACTAAATTACCTCACTGAATCATGTGTTACCTTTCCACAGCTTTCTATGACAAAATACTTGAGACACGCAACCTAAATTTCATTTAACTCACACTTTCAGAACCTGGTCGGCTGACTGGTACTTTGGGCCTGTGGTGATACAAAACTTCTTTCAGGAAGGGTGTGGTGGATCGGTGCTGCACACTTCAGTGTAGACCGAGAAGCAAGGCGGGCGGGGGAGAGTGCTGTGCCCTGCAAGGTCCTTGCTCCTTCCAGCTGAGCTCTTGTGTATACGACTCCTACTCCCAGCTACAAGGTCCCTGCACCCAGGAGTTCAAGACCAGCCTAAGACTGAGCAATAGAGTGAGACTTCATTTCCCTCCCTCCCAATAGCTCAGGCAGCAGCACTGCACTGGACCTTTCGGGGACATTAAACCCAGGGTCTGCGGGTGATCCTCAGTACCATGGGGAAATGACCCAAAGCAAAACATAACATTAGACCATTGCACAATACTTCAGAATATCATCTGTATACAGTAAATGTATGTACAGCTAAAAAAAAAAAAGTAATTTAAAAAATTGTGCAGAATGCTTTAAGCAGTTCACTTTTTTGTTATTTACATAGAAATAGGGGCCAGAGAGATGTCTCAGAGGACGTCTTCCAGAGGACCTGAGTTTAGTTGCAAGCACATTGTCGTACAGCTCACAGCAGCCTGTTACTCTAACTCCAGGGGATCCAGTATCCTCTTCTGGCTTTCACAACAACTCTACTCACATCCTCCCCCCTCCACCATGTGTGTGTGTGTGGGGGGGGATTTTAATTAACTGTATTAGCGTATTAGACTTTATTCTGGAAAGGTTAAAAATTCTTGTTTTTAATTAAATTTTTCATAATACCTAAGTTGGGTATTTAGCATCTAAGTATATAAAAGGGATTAGATGAGGCTTATTTTCTTTTTTCAAACATTGAAGTGAAATAAGGATACGATTTAGGTGTAAGTTGAAGACAACCTTCTAGAAGTTCCTTCATGGTTTTTTGCAGTTTTCTACAAATTTGTATCTGTGGTAAGATATGATTGATTCTCTTCAACTTGGAGAGGACACATTATGTAACTCAGTAACTTGCAGTGTATATCTCATGACCCATTCACCTGAGAGCAAGCAGTCATGCTGAGGTCTTATGTTAAATGTCCAGCTACCTCCATTTGGGGGGAGCAGAGATGGCTCAACAGGCAGGCACACGGGCACTGCACAGGCCTGATCGAGGGTAATTCCCAGAACGTACTTCCGGGTGGATGGAGAGAACCACCTCTGCAGAGCTGTCCTCCGACCGCCAGCCAAGTGCTGGTGTACATGCCTCTCCCAAACCATGCACACAACAACAGTAATAATAAAGTTTAAAAATAAGTAAATGATCAAAATGGCAGGGAGCTGGGGAAATGGTCCGATGTTTAAAGAACATAAAAAACTGAGTGTGCCCACACACCTACCTGTTAACCCCAGTGCTGTAGTGCAAAGACAAGCAGATCACTGGGGCTTGTTGGCCACCAGGTCCAATGAGACACCCTGTCTCAAAGGAATAAAGTAGAGACAGTAGGACCCAGCATCATCCTCGGACCCCCACCCATACATGGGCAAGTGCACCTGAGTGTGTGTGCGCGCGGGCGCGACCACACACACACACACACACACACACACACACACACACACACACACACACAGTGGTTAAGAAAACAAGGAAAGACTGGAATGTTTGAAAATCTCTTATATTAGTTTTTGAGGTCAGGTTTTGTGCCATTCAGAATTCTGGTTTGAAAATTATTTACAACCAGACACCGTAGCATGTGTCTGTGATCCCTATTCTTAGGCTGAGGCAGAAGGGTTGCTTGAGCTCAGGAGTTGGAGGTCAGCCTGTGTAGTGTGGGGGTTGGCCTTTGATAAAGGTCAGCAGACTTTGTTTGGATATTTATTATAATCACAATGTAGAAATATTCTGTAAAGTTACCTCGTAGGTGTCGTGTTTACCACGTAAATTTCATTTCTACTATTTAAAACACCAGATTGGACTCTCAGTGTTTGCCACTGTTTTCATCTGAAACAACTTGGGCTTCACACCTGAAAGTAGGGATGGAAATAATTTTGTGCTGTAAATGAAAATGTTCTTTTCCCACTTTTCTGTGTGCTTGAAGCGAATAGATTTACCAAGCCACAGAAGCAAAGGTTGTTCTCCATTTTAATAATAAAGGCCCTAGCTATAGTAATTTTTCTTCACTGCTTCTTCTCTTTTAGGATTTGTTAACCAGACATAAAGTGTTGGTAGCGGACTTCTTAGAGCAAAATTATGACACTGTAAGTAGCATCATTTTTAGATTTTTTTTCTTTCTCCCTCTTGTCACTCGTTGGCTGCCTGGGGACCTTTGGCTCTGTTTAGGAAACTGCATATAGGTGGGAAATGCAGAAGGCTTGGGACTGGGCTGCCAGTCTCAGAGACTCGTAGTTCCATGATCTAAGAACTAGATGCCCAGGATAGAGGCTTACAGCTCTGGGTTCAGATTGCCCATTGTCTGGCACTTGGAAGGAAGTATGTTTGGCATAGATATCCGTTCTTGTCTTTTTTGAGTGGGTGTTCCATTGTTGGGTTGCCGTTGCCCACTCTGAGTCCTAGCCGCATGTGGTGGCTGTGGTAGCAAATGTTTCTACAGTTGGTGGGTGTCACAAAAGAGTAGAGATGGGCCAGGAGGAAGGGCTGAGAGAGACAATGGAAAAGAACCCAGAGGACTCTGGGTCCACAGTATTTGTATTTTAGATTCACAATTAACATAATTTGCCAGATGAGTATATTGATCTATAAAATGTCATGTCTTGGTCATCTTTTGTTGCTGGGACAAAATATCTAAGAGGAATAACTTAGAAGAAGAAAGAAAGATTTATTTTGGAATATGGTTTCAGTCCATGGTTACTTGGCTCTGTTACTGGACCTATTATGAGTCAGAGCATCATGGTGGAAAGCATGTGGCAAAGGAAAGATACTCACCCTATGGCAGCCAGGAGTCAGAGGAAGAGTCCAGAGACAAAATGCACCCTTCAAAAGCATGCCCTTGGGGTTGGAGGAGATGGCTCAGCAGGTATAACATGAGGAGTGGAGCTTGCATCCTCAGAACCCACTTATAAAGTCAGGTGAGCATAGCAGAACCCCACCAATCCCAGTGCATAGGAGACGAACAGAGGATCCTTGAAACAAGCAGACTAGACACTAGCTGAACTGGTGAGCTCTTGGTTCAGTAAAATGCCATGTCTCAATACATACTGTAGAGCAATCAGAGAAGACAACCACCAACATGTGAGCATGCTTACATGTACACTGCATACAGAGAGAGAGAGAGAGAGAGAGAGAGAGAGAGAGAGAGAGAGAGAGAGAGAGAAGTCATGACCCTTAGTGGCCTATCTCTCCTCTCCTAAAAATCCATTCAGCTGTCACTTAATTAAGGGATTAGTCTATTGATGAAACTAACACTTATTATTCATCACTTTTCAATAGTAACTCAAGCTGGGGGCCAGGTTTTCAATACATGAGCTTTTAGGGAAAGCCTCCATATCTGAGCTAGAACGTTTTCCATGTGTTCAAGAGTAGAAGAAAATGAAAGAGAATAGTGTTGTGACTTTAATCTGAGCTGCATACTTGTACTTCTCAATTCTAAATCGAAAGTTTCAGGGTATGCACATAAGCCTGTCACTTAGCCCCTGAGGCTGGCCTGTCCCTCTCTGTCCCTGTCGGTTTTTTTGCTTCTGGCTGTTTGCTCCTCCAGCTACAATGTTTTCTGAATGATGTGCCCCTGGTGGGAAGTGGGTATCAGCTTTCCCAGCTGCTATGCTCAGTGCTCCCTCCCAAAAGGCCTAGCCCATGATCAGTGACTACATTGAGATGCAGGAAGAAGATCCATGTCCCAGGGTCATGATTTCTTATGAGAAGGGTTAAAGTTCACACAGGCCAATTGGGGTGACATGGTCACTGCCTAGCAGTGGTCACCCCAAGCCTCACCTGTTGATACCTGTTGACATTATAGATTTGACAGTCCTAAGCCCTAAGTATAATTTACTCTTTTCCCAAAGTGTAGATCCGCAGCCACCAAACTACAGAACTAGATTTCTTTAAAATGAATTATCTTGAAGCTTTTAATAGATTGAGAGGATTCAAAATTGCTCCATCTTGCAACTCAATTTCTAGTTTGTAGAACTAATGAGCAGCACATATCCTGTATGCCTTCACCTCCCTGTCCTGATCCTTTTTGTGTCCAGAGCAGTAGTGAGAGACTGAGCCCTCCCTGTGAGCAGTGCTGGTTAGGCTGGCTCTGAGGGACCCTGTGGATGAGTGCGCACACTCCTGCTGAAGAGGACACACTGCCCCTCTTACCGACTTCCTTTCTTGTCTTTAGATCTTTGAAGACTATGAGAAACTGCTGCAGTCGGAGAATTACGTGACGAAGAGACAATCTTTAAAGGTAATAGCAGCTCTCCTTAAGTCCTTGTAAGCTGACATCTTGCTAACAAACATGTCTACTCTGCATAAGTAAATACAGAAAACTCAGGTCCTTCGGTTTGAGAAGTAACTTGAGGGCTATATTTTATGCTCTGATTGAGCTTTGCAGCAAAATAAAGTAAGCATCCTACCTCAGATACTTTTTGGAAGCAACAACAGTGTAAGTGTATGCTCAAATCAGATGTGGAATATTTCACTAAGGAAGAAGACCAAACCTAAGCTGACTTAAGCAGAGCCACACGGTTTTCTCCTGGGAATATTCTTAGAGTTGAAGAGAAGGTGGTCAGAGTGACTGGGATGGGCTGACTATCAGGAAGACCCAGTGAAGGCCCTAGAAGTCACATCACTGTGCCTTACAGAAGCTGGTCAGTGACTGGGATGGGGTGACTGTCAGGAAGACCCAGTGAAGCCCGTAGAAGTCACATCACTGTGCCTTATAGAAGCTGGTCAGAGTGACTGGGATGGGCTGACTGTCAGGAAGACCCAGTGAAGGCCCTAGAAGTCATGTCAGTACGCCTTACAACAGGAACGGCAGAAAGAGCCAGTCCAGTGCCTCTCCTGCATCTGTGCAGGAGACTCAGAGAAGAAGTGCTAGTTCCGGAGTCCAGCACACAAGACACAAATGTTTCAATTCCCCTCGGTGCTTTAAGTTTGGAGATGATAAACCTCATGTTTTTGAATGGGAACAACTGTCAGCTATGATGCAGGTTTTTAGAGTTGAAATTTTCCTAAAATGCATTTGTCAAGCACATTTCATTGCCATGTCCCATTCTCCAAGCTCTCTGGTGAACCTGTTCAGCCACAGCTTTGTCATTGAACTTGACGTGCTCAAATTACATTCATAACAAAGAAGCAGAAGAAACGGTTATTTCCCAAGAGCAGTGTTTTAAATATCAGCTAAGCTCAGTAGTAGGACGATTGGGTGGCCTGCACAAGGCCTGAGTTTGATGCTAGAACCACGCAATAAGGGAGACCAACAAGCACTTATGTGAGAGAAACTGTCTAATCACATGAATAAAACCTTGCTAAAAGAAAACTAAAATAAAAGCTGCCAGGATTTCACTGGAAAAGCATCTGGAAAGAGGTTAGGAAGGTGTAGTTGGCTAGGTAAGAAAGCAGTGGAGAGCTGAGGAGCTGGCTCCGAGGGTAGAGTACAGAATCCATGTGAAAGCAGGATGCATAGGCTAGGAAGATGGCTCACCAACAGAGCAGCTCACAACCACCTGTAACTCCTGTCCCGGGGATCCCGTGCCCTCTTCTGCCCTCCAAGGGCACCAGAAACACAAGTGGTACATGGACGTACATGCACACAATGACCCATACACATAAAACTTAAACATAAGTATTTTAATTTAAAAACAACACAATGGCATATTGTCTATGCCCCTCCGGAGAGAGATGAGACAGAGCTAGGAAAATCACAGAAGCGGGTGGGCCTTCTAGGACTTAGTGTGACAATGGCAAAGTAAGATAGAGAATGAACATTGAAGTTCAGTAAATGATGAACTCTTGGAAGTTCCTGACTGGGAAAACAACGGTTTATTGTGATGTGGAGGTTGGAGAGCTGAAATGCTATGGGACTTCGATTCACAGCAGCTAATAGCAAGAGAGATGCTGTCTCAAAGTGAAAGGCTAGGACCCAAACCCAGGGTTGTCTTCTGAACTCCGCACGGGTGCCGTGGTACACACATGCCCCCCCCACACACACACACTAAGAGGGGTGCTTCCTGATTATCCACAAATGCTGGGGGAAGTGTTGGGGAAAGCAGTGGGAGGGAAGTAACAGGATGTTCACTCAGTCAGCAAATATTTACCTGCTGCTCTTGTAGACATGCAGTGGCAACAAGCCAGCACTGTGACCCAGGGCTCCACTTTGGAGAGCAGCTGATCCTTGTATGGCTTCAGGTGCTCCAAGTGCTCCAATGAAAGGTTAGCGACTGAGGGCACATTCCAGTACAAACTGGAATGTTCCCACTAAGAAAGAAATCCTTGGCTAACAAACAGAATCATACTTCTGTGAGGGAAGGTTTGAACGATGGAAAGAAAGTGGTGACTGAGGGACTAGATGTGGGCCATAGCAGCTGGAATAGCAGCAAGGGCGCTCCAGCAGTTGGCTTTCGAGCAGAGGCCTAAGTGTGAAAATGTAAAATAAGTCTGAATAGGGTATTTGTGTGTAAGACCGTTAGGTACTTGCTGTCTGGAGCCACATCCCTATGAAATGGCGGTGGAAATGCTCAGGAGCCCAACACAGTATGGCCTCGGGCCCTAAGTGCCTGCCCTCCCTAGAAAATGTTGCTCAGGGATGGCCAGGCCCAGAACAGGTGGGACAGTGCCTAGCAATGTGGTGTGGGCTGGTGTTGCACCTCCATCCTTCAGATCACATTCGGGTCTTGAGAACACTCTTTATCAGCTAGTAATCCTGTGTCAGCCGTGCGGTTTGTATACCCTCCAGCTGCTAAGCACCTCGCTTGTGATGTCAGGATGGTGACTCAGGACAGTGCATATGTTCTCAATATTTGATGCAGTTCTAAATTAGGATAATGAACTAAGTGTTTCGTCCATATTTTTACTTTTTTCCCCTGTGGTTTGCATTAGTCATGCTGTGTCCCCCTATATTTGTGTTGTCACTGTCCCAGCTTCTGACTTAATCTGTCAGTCCGTCAGCACTTGTTATGGAGGTTCCCCTTGCATAGAAACCAATGCAAGGAAATCCCTCGAGAGAAACGTCGTGCTGTGCCAGGGAACTGACCTCAGGCAGAGCAGTGACCTCAAAACTGTGCTGTCCTGTGTCCAGGATGTGCTGTAGCTCCCTGCTTAACTGTCACTACTGGAAATCCTGAGACCAGGAGTCTTTGCTTTTAGTTGTGATCCACTCATGTGTTCACCAAGCTCCACTGCATAGCTCCAAACCCACGATCACACCAAGGCCCTGGTAAAACAGAAAGACCTGACTGTGGAAAAGAGTTTGTGGGGTGAATGGGGCTTAACGGGGGGAGGTAAGAGTAGGGGATGAAAATAACAAGGGTTGTCACAGAGCAAATCTCACTAACAAGAAAATTACACACACAGGGTTGTCACAGAGCAAATCTCACTAACAAGAAAATTAAGATATGCCCTACTGTCCCAGCTTTAGACCTATGTAAGGGACAGAAGGACAGACAGAGGAGCTTACAGGAGAGAGGCCTGGGGGGCGGTGGCCACTGGAATAGGAAGGGAAGATGAGGGTGAGAAGTGGCTTAGAGCAGTGGTTCTCAACCTGTGGATCCCAACCCCTTTGGGTGCTGGTGGACCTTTCCTGAGGTTCGCCTATCAGATATTCATAACAGTAGCAAATTTACAGTTATGAAGTATCAGGGAAAATAATTTCATGGTGGCGGTCACTACAACATGAGGAACTGTATTAAAGGTTCCAAACATTGGGAAGATTGAGAACCACTCACTGGCTTGGATATTTCCCAAGTCCCTCTTTTCAACGTGAGTCTGACAGATAGGGAGCGAGTTTACATGACACTAAGTGATTGAACCCAATTGAAGGAGGAAAGATGAGAATCCTTAGACTTTATCCTTCATCTTTTTTGTTTTTCTAGACCGGGTTTCTCTGTGTAGCTTTGTGCCTTTCCTGGATCTCACTCTGTATACCAGGCTGGCCTCGAACTCACAGAGATCCGCCAGGCTCTGCCTCCCAAGTGCTGGGATTAAAGGCGTGCGCCACCACCGCCCGGCTTTATCCTTCATCTTTAAAACTTATTCTTGAACCCTTCTCAGCAGCGACAAGAACTCAGACCAAACTTTTCCTGTCTCTGAGACCTCGGGCCCAGTCAGAAAGCTCTCCCTGTGGGCCTATCTTGCCCTTTCTTTCTGACTGGCAGATTCTCCTCTGTAGCTGGCTTTGCCCCATCTTGTCCTCTTTTCCTGTTCATATTTTAATATGGTTAGAACAGAGCCTTACTTGTGGTAAGAACTACTGGCTTTTTTATTTATTTGTTAATTTTTAAAGTACTGGGGATGGAACCCAAGGGCCTCAGTCACCAAGCACCACCGAGCTACATCCCTGCCCAGAAATACGAACTATAGGTATTTAGTCGATGAATCAAACTAAGTTCTTCAGTAAACATTGCTAGTCATTAGTCCTAGAATTCACCTTCCCCAGAGTTCAGACTCTGGAAGGGATCCGTGTGCTTTGGGTAAACCTGGGATTGGTGGGCTGATGAAGCTGGTTTCAACAGTACACATCTCTACCTGAGAGTAGAACCTCCCCATCAGCACTTGAGTGATGGACAACAGAAGTGGGCAGGAAGTTCTCTGTCCTCATTGCCTCCATGCCCTTCCCCTGCTCAGAGGTGGTCACTTCAGGCCTGGAGCAGACTTCTGGTTCAGAAACACCCGAAACTCCGTTTCCTGCTTAGTTACAAATGCTTCTGTGTACCCGAGAGTATTGTTTGCTGTCCCTTGTTAATCTACTGTGAGACCTGCTTTTCTTGTCCAAATTCCTTTCTAGACCAGGTATCTCAGATTTGATGGACAGATGTGGGAAAGTCTAGCATTGTTTAGTTGGGACGGGGAGCAGCTGACTAAAGTATGTGTCAAAATGCAGAACTATGAAAAGGTTCTTCAGGGCAAGTTGGCTTTGGAGTGCCGGGTTGTAAGGCAGAGATGCTGCAGAAATGGTGCTGCATCCATCACCTGAGGCAAGGGAGCTAAAGGATGAATGACTGAACTGGTTCCCATGTCAACATCGAGCTTAGTCAGCACTGTTGGCTCCCTTCTCTGAGAGAAAAGTGTTACTCTGGGGGACACTGCTGATGCAAGCTTGGTGTTTTCCTTTGTGGAATTAGAAGTGTGGTCGCAGTAGCTGCTGTCCCAGTAACAACATTTACAGATATGGATTCTGTGAGGTTCTGTCTGTGATGTTCCATAACTGGAAGAAGTGAGAAGCTGGACAGTTACGGGGCAAACAGCTTC